TCTCTGTTCTATATATATATATATGTCTTTCTCATTTTACTTCAATTTATAATGCTTTGAATGTTCTTCCAGGAATTGATTGTGGGTTCAGGATGATCATGCTTGCTTTGTTTTATGAAAGTATATTTATTATATTTTGAACACTAACTTATTATTATATAATACATATATATATAATTTCATACATCATTGTTATTATTATTATTATTATTTCCTAATTTCATACATCATTATTATTATTATTTAATCCTCTAGTTGATTTCTTCATATTAGCACAGTAATTTAGAGAATTTACATGTCCAATATTTAAATGCTACTCTTTTCATTGTTAACACAATAGTTTAAAGAATATGAAATATGATTTGGCCATCGAGAATTCTGACATTAATTTCAATTTTGTGAGATGTTAAAGATAAAATTCTTATACTTATTGTGATATATATATATATATATTTAACTATATAATATTCTTATACTCGTTATGATTAATATAAAAAATATTTATATGTATGTAATTTATTATATATAAACTAATTAAATATAATTAATCCGCATAATATACGGCTATGTATATTAATTGAAAAAATTTATAAATATTTGTGCGTATGTGTTATATATATAGAGAATGGGGTCCAAGAAAGGAGTACGCGAGAGAGAAATACGCAGAGAGAGAGAGAGAGAGACAGAGAGAGAGAGAGAGAAAGAAACGCAAGAAAGACGAAAACAAGAAGATTCGAAGCAGATTTGTGAGAGTTCACGAGTTGAGAGTGGTGATGGACGTCGAAAGGATTGGTTTCCATTTTACGCCGAGCGATGAAGAGCTGTTTCAGATTCTTGCAATGGAGCTGAGAGGAGAGTATGAAGTGGGTGCAGTGATTGAGGCTGATCCGTATGAGAAAGAGCCATGGCTGGTGTTCGACAAGAATGAACCGACCACGTTTTATGTGTTTACAAGTCTGAAGAAGAAAAGCCGATCAAGAATGGAGAGAAAGGTCGGTTGCGGTACATGGAAAATGGAGAGATCCGCGGAGGTCGTCGACTGGGAGGAAAACGTTATAGGGTTCAAGAAGATGCTTACGTTTGAGGAGAAGAAGAAGAACACAGAGAATGGTCGGTGGATCATGCACGAGTATTCCCTACGGGACGTGAGTATTCTCTCTTGCTTTCTTTCTTGCTTTCTTTCATTCATTCATTCATTCATTCATTCTTTCTTTCTTTCTTTCTCTCCGATCAGTTTCTTTGACGTGTGTGTGTGTGTGTATATATGTATATATCCTTTCTTTACTTTCTTTATATGGGTTCTTCCATGTACGTAGTCGTCGGAGTTTAATTTTTCTTCTACACTATACTATATTCATGAAGTGCATGGAATATATATAAAAATTCTGAGTTGTATTGCAGTAGAACCTCATTATCTGTTCCTTACACCTTTCTACGTGATGTTCGCTGTACAACATCTAGCCAGCCATATATATATATATATATTCTTACAAATGAATTTGTGCGTTGCGATCATTCGTGACGAAGAAAGAAGCCACAAAGATTTCATCTTCATCGTTATCATTAGTTGGAGCTTTTATGGGGACTATCAGAAACTCGCAGAGTCAAAATTAGTGTACTACAACCATATATTCATTATCTTAAGGATTCCACCTCCATAAGCTTCGATTCATTTATTTGCAAGTCTCTGCGGGAGGGTTTAAGTTTTCTTTATGATTAATGTTAAAAGGAAGTCCAAATCTTTTTCACAGGGAGTGAAATTTTGTATATACATATATACACTACTAATATGTGGACACTTGCTTGTTTGCTTCAATCTCAATTTTCTATCTTGATTACTTTATAATTTACATCAAGAATGTTATTCAATATTTTCAATTTGAATTAATATCGGATTTTTTTAAAAGTAAAACTAATATGTATTTTTATTTAATTTGTACAGTTTGACGATTATGTACTCTGCAAAATTAGAAACAAAAGTATAGATAAACTTCAACAACCAACAAAAATTAAATTGGCATATCATCAACAAGATAACAGCAACAACACTTACAAAAGAAAATTGAGCGCTGATACAGAAGACCATAATCAAAATAAAATCCAGTGTATCAATTCATCATTTGTAATGTCTACTACTGGTGATGTAAGAATCGTTGAGGAGATGATCATTACTGCACCATTGGCAGCAGGAGACATCAATCCATTTACCGCTGCTGCTCTATTGGCAACGGAGTATAATAACAGAGAATTGGTTGAGGAGATGACAGTTGCTGAACCCTTGGCGTCAGAAGACATCAATTCATTGGCCACTGTTGCACCATTGACAACAGAGTACAATGATAGAGAAGTAGTTGAGGAGATGACCATTACAGCACCCTTGGTGGCGAGGGATATCAATCCATTGGCCACTGCTATACCCTTGGCGGCGGAGTATAATGATGGAGAAATAGCTGAAGAGATGACCGTTGCTGCACCATTGCAGGATGAGGTTGAGCAGAATGACAATCTCGTATTTGATATAGATGAATTGTGGAAGGAGATTGGTCGGAAAGACAACCTC